GGGGGGAATTTTTAGGAGGGACAAGGATATTTCCTCACAAGTAGCCTTGCTGAGCTCTTCTGTGCTTCCCTACACTCTGCTCTTTTCTCCCATGGATGAAACGAGGTGGCAGCTCTTCCTCATCATAAGCTGTGTACTGATGCTCATCAGTACTAACTGTTGGCATCCAATCCTCCCCCTCTTTTTCTAGTGCAGGCAGCTGACCATCCAATCAAGTACTCCCCCCAATGACAAACTGGCCTGGGACTGTGTCTTCCTCAGCCCCTGGACTCTCAGGACATTCCTGGGGATTCATGTCATCCCCATCTAATGGCTCCAGTTGCGGTTCATCTTCCTCCTTCGAACCAACTTCCAACGAGGCCATCACATCTTCAGACAGAATCTTGCCAGAGCAAAGCAGCTATTTCCATCACTGTAGATACACTCTGAGAACTAGAACTAGGAAGAAGCTGCTTTAATCCTCTTCCTTCTGACCAAACTTTCCAAGCTCTGCTGCAGCTTTGCCCACTGGAAAGCAGCCCTTCCTCCTGGGAATTCAGACTAATTCACTGCAGACTTAGAATTGAAACCACCATACAAGAGAGGAAAAATGATGGGGAGGGAAAAGGGAAAAAAAAACAATCTCTTCATTAATCCTTCTACAATTAATAGTTTGATATAATTCGGGCAAAAGAGGAATGTAATGGAGTGAATATTGGGACATTGCTGATGGAATGGTCAGGTTATACAAAGAATCTAAAGACCACGATATAAGCACAAGGATTAAGGATTAAGTTCTGTGTAGGTCAGTCAGTTTAGTGTAGTGGCATCAGACCAGAAACCAGGAGACTGAGAATTCAAGACCTACCTCAGCAGTAAAAAACAGAATTGTAGGATTGCATTGTCGGGTTGGTTAAGCAATTGGAGAACAGAAGAAAGAGACGGGATTAGGCTAGCTAAGAACAGCTTCTATGGCAGTAGTAGAGTTTTCCTGATTTATTGAGGGGATACAAGATAACAGGAAGTTTCTTGGGAAGAGATATCGTAAATGCTTCCTATATTCACAATATGGGAAGTGAGGCCACTTTGGATATTTCAGCCTGAATTTAACAATTTCCCCTCTCCCCAAGAAAACAGATCTTTGGGATTCTTAAAGAAGCTGACTGTACACAAAGCTTATTGTCTGACACCTTCAGTATTAGCAATGTTAGCAATAGTAAATCCTATTTCCTGTTTCTATTAGTATCGAGGGTGGTGGTGGTAGAAAGCCCCGTGATGGATGACTGGTTAAATGCACATGGCCCATCCATAAAAACAAAATGAGGTAATTGTATGAAAGAAAAGTTCAGAGTGATGATAACTCCTATGTTTAGTTGACTGGTATAAACCTGTGTCACCTCACATTGCAGAGCTGGCAAGAAGCCCAACTCATATTGTAGTTGAAAAACCAGCTCTGAGTCACTTCTCTTTATACAGTACATGAGTCTTCACTTAGAACCACCATTTTGAAGATCGGTCTTAGCCCTGAAATTCTGGAATGAGACAAATATATATTACCGAAGATATATAGATGGAGGTAATTCGTCTTTGAGAAATATGTTAAAAGTCAGATGGATTCATAGCTCAAGATGATGCTGGAACATACTGATAAGGCAATATATTTGCAAGTTGTTGTAGGAAACTTCCTAAATCTCTCAGATCGGCCTAAGCCTGACATAAATGGTGCAGAGTCAAATACCATAGTGTGTTGTGAAA